AATGTAATGACGATAAACAAATGTTTAATAAATGTCTCGCATTTAATGCCTGTTTGCGATTTAAAAAAAAAAAATAATAACATTTTAATTAAAATTATTTATTAATACTAAAAGACTTATATTTAATTTTTTTATATTTTTTAAATTAATATTTGTTAAATAACAATGCAATTTTTAATTTTTTAAAAAATTTTTCCAAAAAATTTTGGGTACCAGTGTATATCTCTATTTTTATACATGTCTTGATAAATATAAGTAATTGTATGCAAATAATTTTTTTTTCTTGTTTATTAATAATAAATAATTATATTTGCAATGAAAAATTTTTAAATTCCTCAAAATTAAATTAATTAGTTTTAGTTTCTTTAATCAAATATGTTTCTTTAGTCATTTTATTTCTAGTTAAATAGAACAACATTAACTGTTTCATTAATGAAATCTCAAAATATTTTATTTAAAACATTATTTGCTATATAAGACTATAGAATTTTAAAGAATTTCAAGAATTCACAAGCTACTGTAATTATGGGATTATATAATTCCTGACATGCAATTATTTCAAACTATAATACTATTTCTTCCTATAATCAATAATTTTAAGAATGAATTCATAACATAATAATAAAATGATATCAAAAGAAATTAAAATAATAATAATAAAATAATAATAATAATAATAGATAATATAATAGAATTTAATGATTCTTTTACAGCAGCAATCAACATTAATTATAAATGTTGTAATAGATTACAAATAATCTACTCTTTGTGTAAATATTGTCAATGTAATAATAATAAACAATATGTTTAATAATGATTTTCCATTTAATGTTTGTTTACTATAAAAATATAATTATTTATAACTATAAACTCTTAATTTTTCATACAGTAATAATGTATAAAAAGAAAGTTATTTAAAATGCAAATAAAACAAGCTCTAAATTTACATGCGGATTAATGTATTAACCAATGTTAATGATGCATTTTTATAAAATCAGAAATTTCCTAGTAAATGTTTAGTAATACAGTACAGTATATAATCTATAATCAAATCGTTTTGGAAATTTTCAGATAAATACAGTCGGAATTTGATTATCATCAACACAATCAATTAATATGCCTAATTTTAGGAATAATATGGCTAAGTAGCTTTATGCACGGCAGCTAGTACAGTACAAAGGGTTCACGCAATAATTTATTGGATGAGTTTAATTTTACGGAAATTGATGAATCAACATTCTCGCAATTTTTATCTTTAAAATATTGCGATATTTAAACCATGAGTGAATCTCTTACAGATAACTATTCCACTAATGAATCAGATAATGTAAATGGTACAATTGTCGGAGATGCATTCTTTAAAGGAAATATTACTACGGATATAGTGAAGTTAGATAAACACTTTCGTAGAATTTGGAGATCAAAACTAAGTTTAGATTCTTATCCATTAGTTCTTATACAACATTGTGACGTGCTTCGTAAAGTGTTTCGTGATGACAATTCTCTTAAAGATTATGAAAAGGAGTATCTAGAAAGTAAGCTTCTAGAATATGAAGATAAATTTAATATGAAAAATAAAACCGGTGCAAAAAGATTATGCGAAGATTGTGGAAATTCAACATACGCTACTCAGTTTTGTGAATTTTGCATTCAAAAATATTTAGAGCAAAATTTCCACAAATGGGATTCCGGGGATAATAAAATTAATAAAATAATTCAAGAGGTGCAAAAAAACGTAATCTGTCCATATCAAATCGTTGAATGGATTCCTTTTGAAAATTTTGAAAATATAGAAATATTTAATAAAGGTGGATTTGCAACCGTTTTTACGGCGACATGGAAAGATGGATATTTTAACAAATGGAATTCCGCAACAAAGTCATTAGAAAGACGTGGTGAACCACAACAAATAGTTTTAAAACAATTAAATTCTAGTATGGATGACAGCTGGCTTAATGAGGTAACAACCATTTTTTCGTACAAAAATTAAGGATTTTATTCATTAATTATTGTTTACTCACCGAATAACAGGTAACTTCTCATTTCTCAATCGACAAAATTGCCCAATATATTCTTCCTTGCTACGGGATAACAAGGAATCCACAAACAGATGAATATATGTTGGTTCTAAATATAATGGAACAGAATTTGCAGGAATATTTGATTAACAATAAAAATATTGAATGGGAGCAAAAATTCGATATTATTTATGAAGTAACGGCTAGTTTGAACGAGATTCATTACAAAGACCATATTCATGGAGATTTACATGCAAAAAATATCTTAATTCAAAATAATCTAGCACTTTTTATTAGCGATTTAGGATTTTGTAGACCTATCGATAAGATTTCAATTTCAGAGAAAATATATGGAAATCCCCCTTACATCGCTCCTGAAGTTTTATGCGGTGATCCATATACCAAAAAAGCCGATATCTATAGTTTGGGAATAATTATGTGGCAAATTGCAGCTGAAGTACCACCATATTATGATATTGATTTAAAAAATAAGAAAACGTTAAATGTTTTTACAAAAGCAGTTATAGGTGGAATGCGTCCAGATACCAACATAGGAATATCAGAAAAATATAAAACTTTAATGCAACAATGTTGGGATGCGGATCCAGCAAACAGACCAGATACTTTAATAATTTGGCAGAAAATTCGTGAATTACGAGTAGAATTTCTCGATGCTCTTGATAAAGCTATGAATAATGGCAATAATTTTATTGAAGAGGAAATCTTAAACATCTCTAAGGAACCTATTGTTTTATCCGACGATCAATTTTTACAATCAAGAAGGTCTACGTCTTGTATTCTAGCGCCTTTTAAAAATACTTCAAAACCTATTAATGTTTCATCAGGTCGGTATTATTTAAATAAATAAATTTTTAAACACGTTATTAACAGTATATAAATTTGTTTTTTTTAATAGAAATTAGTAATAAATTTTATATGAACCTTAGTAAGTTGACTCATAATTATATTAGTAACAGTTTATAATGCGTATTTAAGCTTATATTATCATCATATTTTAGGGAAGAGACAAATAGAAAACTCCGATGATCTATATTAGGTTCAAGAGCCTAAATATCTTATTTAAGATATGCTTATTTCTTATTATATCTGTTATTATAATTATATATTAAATAAAATATAATATCTTTTATCATCTTATAAGTTGTAGACTTGATCGATTTTAACGTAATTTAAAAATTTGTTAAACCTTAACTAAATAAATGTTAAATTAACAATTATACTCGTTGAAATATATACAGTAATTTGACTAAAAATTCCGTTAAGCAAAATAAACTCCAAGCTTTTTTTCGCTGAGCTTAGTTCACTGGAATCTTCATTTATACAGTGCATTCTTGCTAAGTTCTGTAGTCATATTATTGAAACTAATATTTGCATATCATTGGTCTTACTATATAATATAATATATTCGATAATAAGAAATTTAAATAAGAAATTAAAACCGAATTTTATAACGAAATTAGTCTCAGCCTCTATTCCAAGGTGAGTCTGTCGCCGATACAGAAAATTTATGCGTAATGTATGCACAGAACATCACGAGGTGAGATTGCTATTGCTTTAAGGTTTGGTTTTCGAGGCGTATTTGACTTAACCAATTTCTTTATTTTACTTCCTGATTTACACCTTCTAACAAATACTGTACTTCGAATTCTGCCTAGGTTGCTAGAACTCCCTTGTTCTTCTAGTTACATTATGGAAATCAGCAGGCAAACCCATTTTCAGTATCTACTCAATAACACTTGCCCCATTTATACTCGCTTCGTTTTTGTTACATGCTTGGTATGTTCGCATGAAAATCACTTTTGCAGCGCACACTTACATGTTTTCTAAATTTTAATTTAAGCTTGTAACTTATATAAAATAACAGAAATTAAAAATAATAGAATGCCAATACTTTTATAAATAATTTCATCAATTTTACCTAGTAGAAAAAAATTGTTATTATACTATTTTCTTTTATTAGAAAAAAAATTTTTAATGTTTTTATAATAAAGAGATTTAATTTTCTATTTATAAATTAATAATTTCTTTTATTTTTCCTTTTAGACTTTATAAAATATATTTATCTCAACAGTAAGCCAGTATATTTTGATATATCACTACTATTGTAAATTTTAAACAATTTAAAATCATAGAAATTTTATTAATAATTAATAAAGGCAATAGTTTAAAAAATACTTCATTAAAAAATAAAAAAATAAAAAAATTCAATTTTTCAATAAATTTTTTTATTTTATATATTTTTTAGATTACAAACAGACATTAAATGCAAATACAAAACATTTATTAAATTTTAGTTTATTATTACTACATTAAAAATAAATTAATTGCAACTGATTGCAACTATTCAATCAATACCCATTGTACCAAATGATCGTTTACATACTAAAGGTATTGAATAATCAATACCTATTCAAAACAATTATACTATAGCTAGAGTAAAAATTTTTTTATTGTTAAAATAGTTAGAATTTTTAAAATATTAAGTATTTTTTAAAAGATATTAGAATTTTGATAGTTAGTATAGTTTTTTAAAAAATTTCTTAATAAATATTTCTTTTTACTAAAAAAATTACAAAAACCAAAATCAGATTACTCTTTAATTAATTAATGCTTAGTAATCATTCAATTAAAAACTATTAAAACATATAAACAAATTCAATTCAAAACAGTTTATTGTTAAAATAACAATATCAATAACAATTGCAATAACAAATAATATTGTCTATATTTTATTATTTATAATAACAGAAACTATACCTGCAAGTTATAAAAAAATAAAATAAAATAAAGTTTGATTTTTTATATTAGGAACAGTTTTTAAAAAAGAAATATATTTATTTAATAAGCTCTATATATTAGCAAAAAATAAAAATAGAAAAAACTTTATGGAATATTTTTTAAAAAAATAACTATCACAAATCTTTTCTTATATAATAAAAAAAAAACAAGTTCTTTAAACTTGTTTTTTCTTAGTCAGAAATTCTATACAAATATATTAGTTAATAAAGTATTTGATCTATAATTTGTTAAACAATGTTTTTTATAAAAAGCTAATCTAATATTAATGTTAAATCAACAAGTCTATTACTAGTGATAGCAAAAACTTAAGTAATAATATCATAATAAATAGGTTTTCTTTTTCTACTTAAAATATAAATTTGACTTAGTCAATCTTAAAATGATCATTAACTATATTCTTTCTTTTGAATTATTTTTTTTGAATAGTTTAAGTTACAGCTTTGTTAATAATTTTCAAATAATTCTCTTGCAATAACTTTGTTTTTAGAAAAATAAGTTAATTAGTAATTTTTTTAAAAATATATCTATTACATAACTATTTATAATAATTTTTAATTAACACTTCAGTATTATATATTAATTATTATTATTACAGTTATAGTTATCTTTTTCTTTTTTATACTTTTTTATTTCTATTTATATTATTATTACTATTTTTAATTAATATACTATAAATGATCCATATACACAACTCTTTTCCACTTGCACACAATTATCAAATTAGGAAACATAGAAAAAGAAAGAGAAATGAGTTCAAACAGAACTCTTAGAGGCACTTTTGCCTCCACCAGGCCAAATTACAATGTTAATGATCTTACCAAAGGCATGGCCAGACAGAAAAGCAGAGAAACAACACTATACCCAACACAAAAACCAGCAAAGAAACAATTACAAACCGAAAAAAAAATGATAAAACAGATACAACAAATAGAAACAAAAAACAAAGGCTCCGAAAACAAGCACAATCTCAACTATCCAAGGAAAGACTCAACAAGAGGCAAAGAATGGTGACAAAACCATGAAAGAATCAAACAGTATCACCAAGAAACCTGATACACATGAACTCTAAAGTGACATATACAAACAAGAAAACTCCAAGCTGCAGGTAAAAACAACAGCAGAACTATTTATTGGACAAATGAGCATTCTATATAAAGAAGATAATCCATACAGATGGGCAAGAATAGATGACTCAGATGAAGAGATGGAAACAGACCTTCAAAACAAAAGATGAAACATACATGAGAAGAAAAAACAACCCATGCAACTAAAAAAGAAAACAGTTTCTACTAATCAAAAATCAGCAAATATTTTTGACTATCTTTTAGAAAAATCAATCATATGATTTATTAGAATCAAACTTTGCCAAAAAATTCATAACTTTTTAAATGCTATAGTCTCATAAGTTAACAAGTATCATACTGAATTATATCAGCTTAACTTGATTATACCATAAATATCATGACTTTATTGGATAAAGATATTAATTTTTTGCAATCAAAAATGAATAAATATATTAAAATCAAACTTAGAATAGAGTATACTATCTTTAACAAAATCTTCTATTTACAGGCAGGCCTTAATATTATTAAACTTCAAAATTATAAAGATTTCATAGCTATTAAAATCCTAATTACTAAACTTATCAACTCTATTATATAACCTTCAATAATTAATGAAATCTATTTCATCAAAGTTTCACATGTTATATAATGCTATTCAACATGTTATTTATACTACATCTCTGACTTCTGACTTATTACAGCTGCCATATTTGCAAAAAGATACAAAATTTATATTTGTTTCTATTCTTGTTCTCTAAATCTTATTTACTATAAATACTTTATTGGTCTAATTATCAAACTTAACAAATCAACTGCCTTTTATCTCCTAAACTTTAATATTAAAATTACTTACAATATATATATTCATAACTAGAATCTTAAACTTACTTGAGACAAGTTATATAATTACAGAGAATTCATAATCCTATATTCAATTCCAATATGATTTACCAATATTTTGAACTCTTTCAATTTTATAATTATCAATACCACATTTCTTTTCAACCTAAAAAGAAAGTACTGACCTATTTGAACAATTATACCATTAACTTAATTGCAATTAAATTCAATATACTTTAGGTTATATTAATAAAAGATCAATATTATATAATCAACAATCAATAAAAAATACAAAAGTGTTATTGTATCATCTAATCATATCCAAAGAAAAAAAATATTGATATTTTCAAATCAATCTGATCATCAAATGATCCAATAATTCTTTTTTTAAGATGTTAAGTAAGGAATTTCTCATAATCTTTATTAATTGAGTAAAATGTTATATAATTGATTTTAAGATTTTGTGATACATTACTATATATGTTAACCTACTACCATATAGATATATTTAATAAAAAAATCCTTTTAAAAGAAAAACAAAAGGAACTATCTATTTCTGAAAAGTTAATTCCTTCTTAATAATTTATTCTATTATGAAAAAGTATTGATAAATCTTTAGAGAAAGTTTTAGAATGATATTAAGAAGTTTGTTTAAGTTTGAATTGGGAGCATTGTTATTTGAGGTGAGTTTTCTTTTGGTTTTGTTATTGTTCATAGGTGTTTGTTTATTTTTTCTGAGTTTGTTTGTTTGGAAAATATTGTAAATTTCTTCTTCGTCAATTATGCTATTGTTTCTGGAAATCCAAATTTCAGGATAAATAAAATTGAGTAGTTCATTTTGAAGTTTGTTTAATAGTTTTAGATCTTTTGATATAGATTTGAAATTATTGAAACAGAAGTTGAAATTTAAGAGACCAAAAGCTAAATTTATATAGAAGAGAGAAAAGTTGATAAGTTGTTTGAAGAAATTTGAATTAAAGTTTTTGTTATTTTTGAAAGAAAAAGTAGCTTATGCAATAGTATTGTTGATAATTTGGTAGATAGTTGCATTGCTTTTTTTATAAAGCCAAATATGATGTATTGTTTCTGGAGCTAGATTACATTGTGAACAGAGATTGTTAATATAAAGATAAGGTAGAGTAGAGTATAAATGGGATTTGGTTGTTAGTATATTGAAAAGAATTTTGAGATGAAAATTATAAAGTTTAAATTAAAATTGAATATTTGTAAATAGTGTTTTTTTGAAAAAAATAAGAGAGTATAATAGAAGAAAGAAATTGAATAATCTAATACTCCTTAAATGCTTAACAATCCAATCAAACTTAAAGACTCT